TGTAAGCTAGGGAACTACTGTTATCTCCATTTTATAGATGATGAACTGAGGCACAGAGGCTAAGAGACTTGCCCAAGGTCACACTGGAATTCTGTATCTTCCCTGCATCTTCACTTTTTAGGCTTGATAGGTCTTTAGCAAGAGAAAGGTGGAGGTGGTTCTAGAACAGTTGCCTCTCTTGTAGTTGCTTCTCTAATTCATTTCTATCTGCTGGAGAAATCTTGTAGCTTTTTCAGCTCCCTGTTAATGTCTGTAGGGCCTTTTCAGTAACTGTAGAGATTCTTGCTGTTTTTCCTGTATAATCAAAGAGCTGTCAACTGCAGAAAGCACACTGAAATTTTTTTTTGCTTTTTTCAGTTGTAATCTTGTCACTTGCAACTATAGTAGGAGTAAATTTTTTCAGGCAGATGTTTTCAAGTTTGCGGTATCCCTTTAAATGTATCTGATACGTAAATCAAAGTATGTTCAAAGAGCAGTAGTATGCAGAAATGTATGAACAGGCTTTTCATTTTTCTAATCTGGGGGGCAAAGTTGAACAAATGATTACTGATAGCTGTCTTGGCCAGAGCAAGTCTGAGTAGTTTAATTTAGATAACCTGCATTAATTGCTCTTAAAAAATTAAATATATTGTCAGATTGCATGCATGTGGCTAAAATTTGAATTTGATATAACCCATACAGTTAAACATCTTGCAATTTTTTTTATAATGCTTCAGTTTTTTTGTTAGAGGTAAACTGTAAAGCAAAAATAAAATGAATTAATTTTTGCTTTTTCTTTCATGATGCATAAGGATTGCTTTATAAAACATTTATTTTGGTTCGTTTTTATATTTGGTATATCAATTCTCACTCTGGTGTGTGATGGTACAGTCAGATTGAAGACCTAAGCATCTCTTCTCTTCTCCGTCCCCGCTTGTTGAGGGGGGTCGGAGGAGGAAGAGAGCTGCAACTCAGGTTGCAATTCACCACCACTCAGGTCTTGGCTAGCTCACATTATTTTTAGTCTTTATGATATTTTATTCATTAGATAACTTTCTCATTCTAACTGTAGCAAATGTGAAATCTGCTGCTCCGTGCAGCAAGTTGGGTGGCAAATGTGTAATGATTACCAAATGTAAAAACTTACCTGACTCAACATGTCTAAAGTTAAAAAGGTAGGGAACTGGTGAACAAATTAGCTGAAGTAATGAAAATGGATAATTCTTCTAAAATAAATGGTCTAAAATAAACATGGTCAAAAATTGTTTAGCAAGATTAGATAGGTTTTATGTTCATCTCAAAATGCAGAAAATATTTAATTCTTCAAGATCAAATATGCCATTGCATAAAACTTTCACTATTGAAATGGAAGAGCAGACTATAGATTCCCAAATAAGGTCTGGTCTACACTGTAAAAATTAAATCAACCCAGCTATGTCGCTCAGGGGTGTAAAAAATCCACACCTGTGAGTGATGTAGTTAAGCCAGCCTAGTCCCTGTGCAGACCATGCTAGATGGGTGGAAGAAGTCTTCAGTTCACCTAGCTACCCCTCTCAGTGAAGTGGATTAACTACAGCAACAGGAGACCCCTTTATGTCACTGTAGTGAGTATATACGCTGAAGTGCTACAGTGGCATAGTGTTGTAAGTGTAGACATAGCTTAAGGCCTGGTCTACACTGAAAAGTTAGGTCGACCCAACTACATTGCTCCGGGATATGAAAAATCCCTTCAGCAGCATGGCTACACTAGAGGGTAGGTCGGCTTACGCAGCATTAGGTTGATAGAATTCTTCCGTTGACCTAGCTACTGCCTCTTGGGGAGTTGGATTACATACCCTGACAGGAGAACTCCTGTTGGCATAGGTGTCTACACTGAAGCGCAACACTGGTGCAGCTGTAGAGATTCAAGTGTAGACAAGCCCCAAGACTTTCAGCATGATTGTCACTGTTGAGATGTAACTACAATGATCACTTCAGTCCCTGTTCCAGACTTTGGAGTGGCTCAGCATCTTACTTCAGGATGAGTCTCTGCTTTAACACCCAAAATATGGCAGATTAGTCCATGATCACATTGATTGATTTACATCACCAGTTTTAACTGATTTAAATTGGCAAGCAGGAAACAGTGACTCTTAATCTTGTTTTGCATTTGTACTCTGTAGTTAGTTTCCTGAAGTAAGGTTGATTCTCATTGGTTGGTAACCCTTAAAACATGTTGATTTGAAATGAAATGTAACCTTTATGCTAAAATGTACTTTTGCTAACAAGGATACAGTGTATCTACACATTTAAGCAGTTACAGAGCTTAACATTCATTTGTTCGGGTTCTTAATTTTTCCATTTTTATGTTAGAAAATGAGTGAAGCATTTTCATATTTACTTGATTAATTTTTTTACATGAGACTTTTTCAAGCTATATGTGGATGGAAAACTAAATTAAATGCACATGTACCCCTTCTGCCCGTCTGAGTTGGCAGCAACAAGGGCCGGGTTCAGTATCTAGGGGTTCTGTTTCAATAACACAATGCAAAACCGGCTCGAGCCCCCACCAGTGACCTGGGACAATTACAGACCACCCCCCAGGCGCCTCTAAGGTAATACTTGCCTCTCACAAGCACAAAGTCTGTGTAGCAAAATCCTTTTAATAAGGGAGGGAAACAATGCGGCATTATGTTGGGGAAACACCACAAACAGAATTCATAACACAAATCATCAGCAAAAGACATTTCTCCCTCCCCCCCTCCCCCAAGTAAGTTTGGCAGTGTCCTTTTCCCCTTAGGGTAAACCCAAAAAATCACCCAAAGTGAAATCCCTGGTCAGTGCAGTCCCAGAGTTCAAAACTTTATCTGCGGAGTTTTACCTCCCAGCCTGGGGGTGCAGCAGTGTTAAGGGGCACCTTACGTGATCAGAGGCTGACTGCTCCGCCTCTCCATGGGGTTCTGCTGCAGCCTTCACAGTGAGCTGCTCTGCCAGCCACTCTGCTCCACCAGCTGTCCTGCAAGCTGCTCCAGTCATCCTGCAAACTGCTCTGCTCCACCAGCTGCTCAGCAACATATCTCCAGGGCCCCCCCAACACTCAGTGATTTCAGCTCTTAGTAATTTTAGCTCTTTAGTGATTTCAGCTTGTAGTAGGGAGCCTCAGTGCTGGTGCACCATTGGCCCAAAGTGAATTCAGCTCAGCAGTCTGTAACTAGACTCCTAATGGAATTAAAATTAGCTCTGATATTCCACAGTAGGGGGGGAGAGAGGAGGAGGTGCAATTGGTATTTCAGGCCCATACCATCAGGTACAAATAACTGTCCCCAGCCTCTCTCAATGCACTGGGTTTTGGAACCCATGTCCCTTGTCTAGTGAGTGCTACTTAGTTGATGGCGAGTCCCTCTGTCATAAAACAGTTTCATTGTCCTTGGTTCACATAATCAGGGTAACAACACTTTTTTCTTCCTGCCCCAATAACAGAGAAACTGGGTATCCCACAGCAGCCAAAGTGACCATTTGGGCTCATGCTAGACAGGGTGGGTGTGCCTATGCAAACAAGATCAGCCCCTGAAGTTCTTTTCCACAACTCACCACAATTCACCACCAGATGTCAGGGTAGAGCTCATCCTCACTCTGCTTACACACATACACACACCCAATATTTTTTTAAATTTTGGTTTTTATTAATTCTATAAAACTACCTTCAGTGTGCTGGATACATAAGATAGTTTATCAAACATGTTTTGCATTTAAAACTGTTTTATTAAACAAAGGAAGTATCTGTAGTTAGTGAATTGAAATGGTGGTTTCTGGTCATCAGGCCCTTCAAGATTTTAGAACTAGAACATCTCATCTTCACACCTCATTTTTATTTATAATTCAGAATATTAAAACAGGCTTTCCTACTTTTTTTCAATTCCCCTTTAGTTTATTTAAAGTTGAGAAACCAGTCATTGAACTGAACTGGTTGAAGAAACTGACATGAAGAAAATAGTCTCTGCACCTGCAGAAGAGACTACTGTCAAAAGCTGTTTTAGCATTTCAAACTGATTCTTGGTGCTTAGTGAGTGAATGCCACCAGTTCAGTGCTTTGACTTTTTAAAATAGCTGAAAATATGTACTGCTTGAAGTTTACTTTCATGTACTGTAAATTATTTTAATAGCTTATAAGTAGTTTAGGTCTAAATATAGGTTGTCAATTTTAAATTGGTTTAATTTAAATTGATTTAAGTAAGTCTGAATTTTTTTAAAAAATTGATTTTTTTATCCATCCTGTTTTTTTCAACTGTTTAGCCAACATGACAAATCCAAATGTAAAGGTCAGAAGTTAAGCCCAGAACAGCAATAACTGGCTGAATAAATATGCTTACGAAGTAAACATAGTATATGTTTTCACAGCACTTTTGTGGGTTTTTCAAGTATTTTTCACTGGATTCTTTCAGGCTGGGGAAAATCACACCACCTCTCTGGGAGTACTATAGGAGAGCTGTTTGTTTTGAATAAACAGGGAAATCTCCCACAGATTTCTCAACTGTAATTTCACAGAACTGCATGTGCTGATTTATGCTTAGTATTTTACAATATTCACTTCATTTAACTATGAATGATAGTAGTGCATACTGAAGTAAGGCATATTTATTTAGAAATGACAGTGCAGCAACATAAATACATGGTAGCCTTTTACATGCTATATGAGTGCTTTGTTTCTTTAATCTGTAATTCTCACTTGATGAATGTAACATTTCAGATATTCACTGATAGTGAGAATTTTTTTAATGGCCTTAAGATATTAAAGTATTTGCTCTTTTTGGATTTGTTGGACAGTTCAATATTTAAATGAAGCTGCTGAAAGACTCATTTTTTAATGTAGGCTGGCTTTTGAAAAGATAGCATAATCGTTAACAAAACCAAGTCAGTTTTCTAACTCTGATGCCAGAACTATTTGGTATTTAATATGCTCAGTGACCATTCTAGAGTCTCAAACAATTATTAAATTCTATGCTAGTCAAACTTTTTAAAAATAAAAAGTGATTCTCTTGCAGGCATATGTTTTTCTTGCATATAAGGGAGGATCTTTTGGCTGGTAATCTTCAGTGTTCTTCAGAGCATGCCATTGAACTTAGTGCATTGTTGGCTCACATGAAGTTTGGGGATTATAACCAGAATACTGCCAAGTACAGCTATGAAGAGTTGTGTGCAAAGGAGCTCACTACTGCCACCTTAGACAGGTAAGTAACTGTTGTAACTACTCGAACAACCAGTGACAAAAGTTGTTTAAGAATTTAAATTAGTAAATGATAATGTTTGGTTATTTGGTGCTAAAATTTAAGTGTAAGTGATGTTGCAAAAAAAAAAAATCAAAGCTAATGTTAGTTAGCTATTCTTTGAAAGGAAACCAAACCTTACCCAGAATGTTTTTAATGAAAGTGGCCCTATATATCTGCTGCATTTGTAGACGGTGGTGTACGTTTCCTTTTTTGGAAATAAAAAGCGGTAACTGTTTAAATTTTCCTTGATTCGGAAGTAAAGGCAGGCTAAATAGTCTGATCAGGATAATTCCAGTTACCTTGTCCAGCTCCACACTGTGTTAGGACACTGCTCAAGGGAGAGACAAAACTATTGCTTTTTGATGGATATGCAAGTAAAATCAACATCCCAAAGAGAACGTGCGTAATGTTGGCTGATAGTTTACGTGTACTGTACAGCAAAAAAAAAATTCCCTGGAACTTAACCCCCGCCCCCATTTACATTCATTCTTATGGGGAAATGGATTCACTTAACATAGTTTCACTTAAAGTTGCATTTTTCAGGAACATAACTACAACGTTAAGTGAGGAGTCACTGTATATAATCAAGTTCAAGAATTTCATATAGAAGACTACATTTGTCTAAAGGCACAATTTTAATACCCTTAGATTGTGTTATAAACAAGCCCAAGACTACTCCCTGCGCGTGCGCGCACACATTTTTGTAGTGTAAAATCTGAACATCAAGGAGAAAAATTCTAAATGTTGTATTTGCATGCATGTGAATTTTTTTACCGCTAGGAACTTTTTGGTCTGAAAGCCTTTCTACACAAGGGATACAGTTTCTAAAATAGCATGCAGCTTTTTCTTTATATATATATATAAAATTGTTTGCCAAGTAAATACAATACATCCTTTTAAATAGTCCAAGAATATTTAATTAGTTCTCACTTTAATGATCAGAAACATGTAGCCAGCTATAACTAAACAGACCAAGTAATTTAGTACTTTTATATAAGCACCACCTAACTTGATCATTTAGAATCTTGTTTAAAATGAGATGTTGCTGTAGATTACTGCATATGGCTGAATGGTTCACCTATCATCCATCTTTTTTATCCACAGTATTACTGCAAAGCACAAGGAACTAGAAGGGCTGAGCCAGGCTTCAGCAGAGTACCAGGTTCTGCAGATTGTGTCAACACTGGAGAACTATGGGATAGAGTGGCACTCAGTGAGAGACAGTGAAGGGCAGAAACTTCTTATTGGTGTTGGGCCTGAGGGCATCTCCATCTGTAAAGATGACTTCAGCCCTATTAACAGGTAAGTTCCTGGGGCGAAAGAATCTAATCTTCTGACTTTTCTGTGAGCTATACTTTGGTTCTATAATCTATATAATCAAAACCGTTCTAACGGAAGTGTTAAAATCTTTTATATCTTTGTTCTGGTTTGGACCATGCAAGAACTGCCGGACCATGCAGTGACTGGGGATTTATCCACTTCTGATAGCCTTTTCATCAGGAGACCATTGATGATGTAAAACACTGAGTTTGGGGCTATACAAATAAGTTATGTGCTTCCATGGGTACTATATTAGTGGTATAGCTGTCCTGTACTTGTTCAGTGCAGCATTTTCAATCTAACATTATAGAAGATTGGAAAGGCCTCTTTGCAAATGTAGCTGTTAATTTCTTCTGGGTAGTCTTAAAGGATGTTTCTCATAGTACAATATGAGAGTGGCTGTAGAAATTGCCTTAGTTTTTAGAGGGAGAATAATCGCCCCCACACACACATTACTCATCATTTTCTATTCACATTTAGGATTGCTTATCCTGTTGTTCAAATGGCAACCCAGTCTGGGAAGAATGTGTATCTGACTGTCACCAACGAGTCTGGTAATAGCGTAGTTCTCTTGTTTAAGATGATCAGTACCAGAGCAGCAAGTGGACTGTACAGAGCAATAACAGAGACACATGCATTTTACAGGTTTGTATTGCTAGTGGAGTAAATCACTCTTCCTACCTTTTCAACAGCAGTTGAGTCAAGGATTTAAACTTTGACACTTCCTCACACTACCTTGCATTTGAGATATTCCCCTGCAAAATTCTATCATATTTTTGCTGCTACTCCTGCGCACACAACACCAGGAACAGCAGCAGTGGTATGAAACAAAATTCAGACATAGTTCTACTCTGCTTCTGTTACATCCAAGAGCTGGATAGATTCTAATTGCTGAGGTTTTCTGGGGTGGGAATATACAATTCAAGATAAGCAAACAAGATATTTCTCTGCACTATCACAATATAAATAGCACTTCCTCAGAATGAAAACTAAATCAGTTTCTAATAGATACCTCAGTAAGCAGTAGACACTTGTTTTCATTTCTAGCATATATGTTTATAATTTATTGAAAACATCAAAATCTGTAGCTTCATTCCTCTAATTCTGTTTTTAAAAATCTTTGCAAACACAATTGTTATATATAGAAACAAAATTAAGTAGGCTAAACATGCTATGGATGATCTTTCATCCTTCGGGGGTGTCTGAGCTCAGGGAACAAATAAGATACATTGAGGTTTCAGTATTAACTAATCAATTTTTTCACTTGTCTCATGGGTTTGTCTTGTAGGTGTGACACTGTTACTAGTGCTGTCATGATGCAGTACAGTCGAGATTTAAAGGGCCATCTAGCATCCTTGTTCCTGAATGAAAACATTAATCTTGGCAAAAAGTATGTCTTTGACATTAAACGAACATCAAAGGAGGTTTATGATCATGCGAGGAGGACTCTTTACAATGCTGGCATTGTGGATCTTGTTTCAAGAAGTGACCAAACACCACCAAATTCTCCCCTTAAGTCTTCAGAAAGTAATATGAACTGTGACAGCTGTGAGGGTCTCAGCTGCCAGCAAACAAAAGCTCTTCAAGAGAAGTTGCGGAAGCTGAAGGAGTCTATGCTATGTATGGTGTGTTGTGAGGAAGAAATAAATTCAACCTTTTGTCCTTGTGGCCACACAGTATGCTGTGAGACCTGTGCTGCCCAGTTGCAGGTAATTGCAGTGTCACTTGGGACATTCCACACTAATGTGTTTAACAGCGGATTTCACTTTACAGTTTATTTTTTTACTAGTATAATTAACTGATCTTGACCAATATACTCAGCAAAGTTTGATTGGTACTCAATTTGCATAATGTCTTAGTTCACAAGAATGTTATGTTTAGATTATAAGCTAAATAGATGGGGCTGTAGTGTGAAGAAAGACAATGTAGGTGAGGTAATTTATTATACTAGTTTCTGTTGGTGAAAAGTTTTTGAGCTTGCACAGAGATCTTCAGGTCTGGTATAGTATGTAGTCCTTCCTTTTGATGAAAATTAATGGATTTTTTGCAGAGAAGTTAGGAACTAGTGGCATAAAAGTTTCTTGTGGTGTCATGTTGGAAATATGGAGACAACTGACCTGAATACTTCAGTCTCACCAACAATGTTTATTCATTAAGGTGATGACTTTGTGCTCATGAGACATATAGGGTCTCAGAAAATTGTGATGGAGTGTTCCCTAATACTTTTTCTTTCTTCTCTCCAGTCATGCCCAGTTTGCAGGTCTCGGGTAGAGCATGTCCAGCATGTGTATTTGCCAACCCACACCAGTCTGCTCAATCTGACAGTGATATGATCTGTGTACACTTCTAAAGCATCATGTACTTTTTACAAACTGCACTAAGATGAACTACAGCCATTGATTGTGAAAAAGGCAATCACTCCAGCTCCTGCCTGCAATGAGAAGCAAAAACCCCACTACATCTCTGGGTCGGAGAGGGGTCAATATTATCTGTTCAGCATGCCCAAGAAGAGGTTTTGGGACATCTTGTGAAAACAGAACTCTAAAAAAATTCATGTCATCTAAAGGAGGAAAAAGGCCTTCTTGATGCATGAGCTTGCAATGTGGCAATATTGCCAAAAGCTAGGTAATTCTGGGGAATGTGGTGTAAAGTCTATTTGATATACCCAGCAGGGATAATTCAATATGTAGTTTTACACATTTTATAATTGGTTTTACGTTTCTTTTTATTTTGTTCCTTTAGTGTGATCACTCCATTATTTTTAATAGCAAAACTAGTTTTTTACAAATTTGTACGTCAGTTTTAGTGTGATGTTTATAGTTTCTGTGTTTAGTAATTGTTCTAAAGTGAGGGGAAACTATTTTAAAAATCAGTATTTTTAAAAACCTGAGGTTGCAAGGCTTTAAGCAAGCAGTTGCATTTAAATCAGCAATCTAATCAAAGCTCAAGTCATATGACAGTGATAATTTTGGAAGGTTTTTTTGCAGCAAATTTTAATTTCTGGATGTTGAGAGGTTCGTCAGGAAAGTCTCTCCTGCTTGATAATGATGCTCCACTGAGGAAATGTTCTGGGGCTTTGCTTGCAAATCAAAAGGGAAAACCATTTCTACTTGGGAAGGATGTAAGTTGTGTAACAGTCACAGATTCAACTGTCAGCCTGTAAATCTGCCTTAGCTGTGGAGGCTGATTTTGCTTGAACTATCAAATCCATTTTGGCCTAAAATAGTGTAAAGTTTGTATAATTTAAGTGCTTTCATAAGTTTAACTTTTGAGTTGCTTGGTTATCTTTCTTGCTAAAACTTTTTATCTTCCACCCCCATTTGGGCATTTTGGACTTCGGTCAACTAGTGTATTCTCCATGATTTAGAGGAAACTAGAAGACCATATTTGGGTGCAATACTAGCTAAATTAAAGCTAGAAAACTACACTGTCACTTTACTGAGATTTTCTGAGTATACTTTTCATATTGCCTTAATGTAGCAGTAATGTGTGTGTATGCATTTGTTTCTTTGCACAGACTTTTGTCAAAATATTAAAACTCTACTTTTTTATCGCACATATTAGCATATAAACCTTACTCCAAGAGGTATTTATTTTTTCACTTTGTAAAGAAATTTTTGTTTCCACATGAAGCAAGAACTCTGTCCTATATCATAGACAACTTCTGTCTTTTTATATTCAGGTTAATAAAGGACTTTAAATCAGATGTCTTCCTGCATTATTGATAGTATTTGGAAGTCTGCTTATTAGCTTTGATGTGAGAAATCCTGCTGTGTCGTACATAATTTAACCCATTCTTTTGTAGTTAGCATACTGCCCATTCTTTTTCCTAAACCTGCATGTTTTGGGACTGATCTAAGAGGTACTGACCATTTGTAACTGCCATTCAGGTTAATGGTGCTCAAAATCTTTCTGGATCAGACTCTTCTCTTGAGCGAACTGGAGGAAGCTTTTTTTCATGTTGTCGCTACCTTTTGCTTTCAAGTGATATTGCCTAGAACACCTCACTAGTCACAGGGTCCTTAATTTTTCTTATAGAAACATTCAGAGGAAATACAAGGTTTCTGTGACTAGAAACTGAAAAATAAGATACTATTTGACCTAAAGAAGCTGTTTTCAAGATTTAAACTTAAACTTTGAATTTCATCAGTCCAACTGAAGCATTTAACAGAAATCCTTTATTATACTAGTGTGTAGACATTTAAAGTTGAGCCACTAGTCATCAGCTACATCACTCTTCAATTTTGAAGGCTTCATTTAGCACTACTTACCCTATTGAAGCTAAAATCTTTCCACATTTGGCCTCTACCTGAACACATTTTAAATTGATAATCCCAGAAACCTTATTACTTGAACCTATTAATGTCATCTTAGAGCAAATGAAACAATGATATTCCAGCTCAAAATAGTGTAGTAGGTGAAAGTAACTTCATGGAATTTTAATATGTATAGCAAATCATAGTGGCAATTTCTAAATACTTTAGAATGGCCAGACCTGAACCAAGCATTGTACTTCTGTTTGCTTTTATTTTAAGCCATTAATGTCCAAAAGGCCACTATGGTTAGGGTGGATAGGAGAACTACAGTCCCTCTTGAAAGCTGAGGCAGAACTTAAGAGACTTCTCTGAAGAGTTGTTCAGAGCTGCTTCTACATTTTCTGCTACTTAAGATGAAGTAGCAGTTGTCACTGGTTGAAGATACTGAACAAATCATTGCCTGCCACAGACTAGCTGTCAGGCTTTGGCCCGCCTTGCTGCGGACTAGTACATCTTCTGTTGCTAGATGCTCTATTATATTAGCAGGGTATGTCTTTGCACTGTTGTCAGTCCCAGCTGTGAGGGGAGTAAATCAGGTTCACAGACTACAGTGATGAGTATGATGTAAATGCTTGGAGCTAGATCTATGGGACTGAATCAATAATGCACATATCACTCCTCCAAAGACAGGGTCACATTTCTTTTCAAGGAAAATTCATTTTGATGAATTCAAAAAGCTTCATCAGTCATTGGCAAATATATTCCAGACCTTGGTATCTGACTGATTTCCTTTTAATACTTGGAGTTTTGAGAACCAAGGAGTGCAGAGTAGCTCTACTATCCTTAAGGGTGTGGAGTGCTTTATCATTATTTAAGCTTAAGAGCTCACAATACTTGAATGGTAAATCTGTCATGGTTGTCTGACCATGAGAACTGTAATCAGGTTCTGCATATTGTAATGTCTGTGGCCACCAAATAAGCTGCCATGTCAGGCATCTAAAATTGCCTACAAAGTTGTCTTTGCCATGTGTTGCCCTTCTGACATGATCTCTCAAGTTCTGCTCTGGTATTTTGTGGAAGTTTATCCAGAAAGGGTGTCTTATGTTAAATTGTATTTTGCCAAACAAACTTGATAATGCACGTTTGTAGTGTCGTAGAAGAGTAGGTTTTTCTGCTTAGCAGGTTCGCTTGTCATGGTCTGTTTCTTTAGGTGTCTAGCATTTGGGAGTCCAAATGATTTTTTCCTGCACTGGAGAGAGAAGTTACTAGAGTTTGTATGGGAGTAGAAGTACTTCAGGCTCTTGTATGGAACTTGGTTCCTTTTAGCTGCCCTCTTGCAGGTTGTTCCTTGTTAAACTTTCTGGAGAAAATGTCACTAGTGATGAATGGTTGGAGTGAGTGGGTAATTCACCCTTTTAGTTTTATGGGAACTAGTAACTACAGCCTATTCACTTCTTAACATGATACTGTAACTATAAACAGTTTTAAAAACTTAAAAGAATTAGTATTGGAGAGAAAGCTATGCTCTTGTTAACGGTTCAAGAAATTAGAGCTGGACCAATACCTAGCCTTTCAATTAACTGGTAGTTCCCATAAAGTTGGTGTGATCCAAAAAATTCTTGAATTGTTTGACTTCAAATTAAAGTTGTCAGCTTTTCCAGTAAAGATGAGGAGTCCTTCTAGCACTTTAGAGACTAACAAATTTATTTGGGCATAAGTTTTTGTGGGCTATAACCCACTTCATCAGATGCATGAAGTGGAAAATACAGTAAGCAGGTATACAGCACTTGTAAGGCAACGCCCATCTTTTCCAAGGTGGGGGGGGGGGTAGTGCTAACGAGGCCAATTCAATCAAGGTGGATGTGGCCCATTCCCAACAGTTGACAAGAAGGTGAGTGTCAACAGTGGTCAACTGCTGGGAATGGGCCACATCTACCTTGATTGAATTGGCCTCATTAGCACTACAAAATTATTTTCCCTCTGTTCCAGTGTGTCTAAATCATTGGCACAAAGATTGAGGGCCCCAAGCACTAGGTTATAAATATCTCTTGGCCTAAATACTTTATACAAATACTTCTCAGCTTCTGGGCACAAATCTTTTACTAATAGACTGACAAAAGTATCCAAAGATGAGGCTTTATGCAGCAACAAACATTTAATTTAACATAAGCATCTTCCCCTATTAAGAGCATAGGTACCTGAAGTGAAAGTATAGTCATCCCTGAACTAGAAAATGATCTTCCCTACTCTTAACATTGAAACATTTGCATTTATAAAACATGATCACTACCTCAGCTTCGGTGTATTCACATAAACAAATACACAACACAAGCTATCCTCTTCATTGTCTTTAGTTACATCTTTGAAGTGTAAGAATAGTGTACTGCACCAGCCTGAAGTCCAAAACCAAGAACTTGCAACCTAAGTGGATATCCCCAAGTAGCTAGTTGGTTCTGTAGACAAGTGATAGAATCTAAATCCCTGTATCACAAGAAATCTGGCTAACACTGATAAGCCTGATGTTAATTTACAATTTGGTTAATTGTTTTAAGTCAAGGTGGTTTAAGTAATTGGTAATCTTTTTCCATTTGTATTTTTCTTTTCTAAAGGAAGGTGCATTCTCATTAGTCCATATACTTATTGATTTACAACTAAATAAGCCTTTATACTAGATTTGGTATATCTGGTGAGCTAGGAAGGTACACTAACTAATTTAAGCAATATTTTCATTTTAATTGTGCATTTTTAGTATTCAAAAAATGGTGAATGATAAATATTGCTTAGCTACTAGACAATTAACTTTTTGCTCATGATTTGTGTCAACCTGCATTAGAATGGTAACTGGACTTTAAACTATGGCTGTCAAGCAATTTTTAACTGATTAATTGTGATTTTTTTAATAGAATATCATTTATTTAAATATTGCTGGATGTTTTCTACATTTTCAAATATATTTATTTCAATTAGAACAGAATACAAAGTGTACAGTGCTCACTTTATGTCAAGTATCAGGGGGTAGCCGTGTTAGTCTGTATCTACAAAAACAACAAGGAGTCTGGTGGCACCTTAAAGCCTAACAGATTTATTTGGGCATAAGCTTTCCTGGGTAAAAACCTCACTTCAGTAAATCTGTTAGTCTTTAAGGTGCCACCAGTGCTTACTTTATATTTTTGATTACAAATATTTGCACTGTAAAAAAAAATAGTATATTTCAATTCACCTACTGCAAATACTGTAGTGCAATCTCTTTATCATGAAAGCTGAACTTACAAATGTAGAATTAGGTACAAAAAAACCTACATTTAAAAACCCTACATTTAAAAATAAAACAATGTAAAACAAGGCCATTCAGTCCTACTTCAGCCAATCGCTCAGACAAACAAGTTTGTTTACATTTATGGGAGATTCTGCTGACTGCTTTTTATTTACAATGTCACCTGAAAGTGAGAATGGGCGTTCGCCAGCGTTGCCAAGTATTTACATGCCAGATATGCTAAACATTTGTATGCCCCTTCATGCTTCAGCCACCATTCCAGAGGACATGCTTCCATGCTGATGCTTGTTTAAAAAAAATAAATAATGCATTAATTAAACTTGTGACTGAACTCCTTGGGGGAGAATTGTATGTCTCCTATTCTGTTTTATCCACGTTCTGCCATATATTGCATGTTATTTCAAGTAGGAATGAGTGGACTTGTAAGCGCTAAAGTCTTGCATTATTTAGTTTGAGTGCAGTTATGTCACAAACAAACAAATCTACATTTGTAAGTTACAAATCTCTTTATTGAGAAAGTGTATGAGGTGAATACTATCTTTTGTTTACAAATATTTGCATTGTAAAAAGATCAAAAATATAAGTGAGCACTGTACACTTCATATGCTGTGTTATATTAGAAATCAATATATTTGAAAATGTAGAAAAACATCCAAAATTAAATTTCAATTGGCATTCTACTGCTTAACAGTGTCATTAATGGTGATTAATTTTTTAATCAGTTAATTTTTTGTTAATTGTGAGTTAACTGCAATTAATCAA